AGAAAAATAATGCATTTGCAGGAGTCAGAATACATTTAGCACAGGTGCGAGAATTCTAATATGACCTGATTCTATGTTCTTTTAAGGAATTAGGGGAGAATGATATTCGCACTTGACTGAATTTATTCGCCAATTGCGACTATATTACTTTAAATTGAAAGTTCTCATCAAGCGAAACTCGGCCTCCACTGCAATATATGTGCAAATACGCTGCCTTCCTTATAATTCCAAATTTATTCTTCAGATCCAGCAACGTAGAAATGTTCTTAAAGGATAAAATATGCAATTAGTCATATCCTGTTGAATTGCAAAGTTTAAGGATAAGAAATGAGTTGACTCGGCTTCCATATTTGTTCGCATTGTTAACAGGTCTACAGGCGACGTCCTGTCGTACGCTTCATCGGTCTTATCCTATTTTATACTTGACAATACATGTAAAGTATATTCTAAACTTTCGCACCCATGATATCCTCCGTTAGGGTATCCTCAGCTTCAATGCCATACTATATATATCTATGACATTGTAGAAAAGGACAGTTTTAATTGTCCTCGTAACAATATGCAGTATTCCCAGTTTATCCATTCGTCACAATAGACGTCAACGCCAGCCATGTGCATATTTTAAACTTATTATACAATCTATGACTTCAGAAATTGGTTCATACAAGGTGTAATTAATGTTTTGAAGATATTCTTCTTTATCCAGGATTTATAATCAGAAGAAATATATGATACCTTTAATATGTGACGTATTTAAGAATTAATCTGGAACAGCAATGTACGGATGTTATAGAGGCATATAAGTCTCTTATTTAATTTCGTCACATGTTAGAGGATGAGTATTCTCATATTTCATCTCTAAACTTCCTATGTTTCTGTTATTTAAACTTTTAACAGTCTTCTAATGGGTATGTTGATCACTGCCTGTTTCTTCCCTTACAATTCATAGCAAGACAGAAGCTGATATAAGAGAAACACTGCATACTATTATAGATATAATCACAATTTCTGTTATTTCCAATTATTTTTTTATTCAATTATCTATTTTGGGTAATATTTGAACTCCTGAACTCCAGGGAGGGCATATCTAAAATTATGCATCCTCTTCTTAAACAATGGAGACGGGGAGGATGATATATATGCTGTGGACGAATCCGTATTAGAAAATGCCCTCATAATAAATAATATAATTAGTTGTGTATAAGTGTTTATATTATTATATCTCATATATTATGAAGGAATCTATTTATACAGGCTGTTACCGTAAAATTCCGACACCAACAGCGGAGGAGTATATGATACAGTAATCAATATATTACGTCAACTTCATGAGGTTAAAGATGATAAACCGTAACTATAACTCATTATTTGATAAAATTATGAAATCGTTAAATAGACTACACAATGTTCCAACTGTCCTATCATGAAATAGCTTAATTCTCCAATAAGAAATGTATGGGCAGCCTACAGAGAAATAAAGGGAGTCAGGTAATTAAATTAATAACATTGGCGCAATCACATTAATCTATAATCAAGACAACCATCTCACCAGCAACCTTCCTGCAGAAGTCATATGGATTATTGAAAAATATGTACAAGACTCCCTTACTCCTTATGTATATTTATCGACCAATAAGACAGTGAAACCTATCAATCTTCTTATCTATGATATACTTTTCTCAATCTTGTAATGAATGAAACCAGGAGTTTCTCATAATGCATATATTAAAACCATCGTAAAAATTCTAGCCGCTATAAAACGCCTATATCTTAATTATAAATATATTTAAGCGATATGTTTATGTTGAATATTTTCTATATAGAATTGAGTAAGCGCTACTTAGAACAACTACTACCATAATAATTATAGAATTTATGAATTGAATTAAACAGGACCCTATCAGAATTGCATATATATTAGGAATTATTGAAAAAAAGAAGCAAGAGGAAGTATAATAAAAACAACAATGTGGGGCTTTTACTGAATATGTTAAGATTTTATAATGTAATTAAGGCAACTTAGTGGACCCTTTCACCAACACCACCCTATTTCAATAATGAGGTGCTTTTAACTATCACTATACAGCGATCAATTCTTTTTATTTATTAGGTGATATGTATATTACCTTAGCCGAATCTTCTAATATAGTAATCCTTTGTGATAGATATAATAATTCTTGAAGAGATGGGAAACCAAACATACCCAATGTAGGAGAAGTAGTCATTATTAAATATGTAAGGTACCACTAATACTATAATAAAATTTTTATAATACTACAAGAAGTTTTTTAATTCAAGTCAAATCCATAAAAAGAACATGTGGAACAGGATAGAATACAAGCGTCAACAGATGTTAGAAGTAGTAATGACAATAAACGGCCCCCATCTAAGATAAGGTATATACAGTCACAGGCCGCGAATAAAATAATCACATCGAGGAGTAGTGTGAGCTAAGGATGATATATAACCGATATTATTTAACATATATAACGTGAAGAAGGATACTGCGCCTTAATTTAAATGCACTGGAAGGGTTTGTATTTAAGTGGAGGTATATTAGGTAATGATGCGTGTCATCACAATATTCCGGCAAACTATAAATGTTAAGAATATAGGAGTGAAAGGAAGCAGTACAGGGGAGTAGGAATTATTCTATAGCGGCCTAGCCTCACCAGAGTATAAGACAGAGGGCAATCTCCACCCTAAGGAATTGTATATATCGTGCTGCATATAAACATGTAAGGGAACTCGCCCCAACCGAATATAAGTAGGACCAAGTGCTAAATGGATAGACTAGTTGATTAATAAAACTTGGAACGGTCAATATTGGAAAACCAGGAAAGTAATATAATTAAAAGGGAAAGTATCCAATAATGTTTGTCTAACTCCTGAAGGGAATATTGAGCAATAAACGGAAAAGGAGCAAAATTATCAAGTATTTCCTGGGCAATGTTGCCTGTAATGACCAGCGCACAGAATATACAAAAAATGGAACGACGGAGAAGGAGGATGGGCAGTCTCAAGGAATAATCAATACAACTCCAGCACCGAAGAACAAAAAAAAAGATAAAATGTGAGGAAAAGGAAAGCCTAGTAACGTATGAGTTAGGTTATATGAGAGAAATAATAAGTTAGAGTGAATCCCCCAGGAGAAACTGAGACGACCAAATACAAGTAGAAATATAGGAATCACAACACCAAGTTAGGAACCAGGAATGAATACGTTGGTACAGGAAATCTATAGGCCAGTTGTCCTCCTAATTCAGAGACAAGGGAACCAACCCCGATGATTCCTGCAGAAATAGTTACAAAAGCAAGAGAAGAACAAACTGTCCTAGCCATTAGGACCTCGGTCAACCCGGCCTCAAATCAGAAACATAAAAGCAAGTATCATCAAACCGTGGGCACATATCCGGATCAACTTTTCAAGTAATTTATGAGCCTGAGAAGTATATAAAACCATAAGAAACTGAGGCATTTCTTCGCGTCGGGCTGAAGAATCAGGGTTAAGACGAAGACGTAAGCAATAGATAGACCCATAGGAACAACAGAACCTTCAGAGAAAAAGGTAAGGGAGAACAGGTAAGATAAAAAACAAGAATCAGCCCCAGCCATGAAAGACCTCCCACTAAAAGAAGCAGCTAAAAACACCATTATGAGTCAAAAGAGGAGACATAGCAGAAAAAGGAAGTAGAGTGGAACCCGTCAGAAGGAAAAAACCACCCAAAATCCTACAGCCACAGGGCGCCCGGAACAGATTTAAGGCATATCCAATCCCACCCAAGGAAACCTAAAAAGGGCATCTACAACCCGAGCAAAGGCATGCGAAGTTAAATCAACAAACAACCCATTGGCCTATCCAGAAGCTGCTACACGCGTCAATCTATAGAAACACGTGACGAAATAGAGATCTTAGACTTGGAAGCAACCCAAGAAGGAATGTGGAAAAAACAGCCAGGCAGGCGATATCACAGAGCAGCACAAATCTCGCCCAACCGCCACGAAGGAACCATCGCACCACTAGGAAATCTGCCGTCATAGGTGGAATCACAAGGATACAACAGAAGGAAAAAGAAGAAATTTAAACTGAATGAAATATGTCATAGCAGAGAGTGCCAGCTAACAAGAGTTCCCTAGGCTAAGGATCTCCAAGAGAAAACGCGGAAAACCGTCAACCTCCAAGGACTAATTCCCATAATCGAGTTAGAGTCTGTCAAAAACCAACAATTTATTTAGAAAAAAGATATTTCAGAAACGGAACAAGTCAGAACGACAACAAAGGAGGACGCCGCTTATTTCTAAGAACAAATGAACAGACAAAAACACCAAGACATTTCACCAATGGGCGACTAATTCCAGGATACAGTAGTAGGAACATCGCCGCCATAACTAGTTACCAGAAGCAAAAGGTACCAGCTATAGAACCAAAACGAAGACAGCAAATCACAGGATAAAGAATTACAACCCCAAAACGGGACCTTGCTCACAGTCCATAGGCGGAAACGGATCTTTAGTTAAGTCTAGGACAAGTATAAGAACTAGAAGATCCTCCAAACCAATAAAATCAAGGAAAAAGTGAAATCACTCTGAGGAAGCCATAGGACACCGACGCCCAAAGGATCAACCCTATCAGAAGTCCAATAATCTCCCAGAGTATCCCCTGCAAATGATTTGACTAAGAAACCCGTCACCCAGAACAGGAAATTGAAGTCCCTGTATATAAAAATTAGCTGAGCATTTATAATTAAGTCTACGAATAGAAAATACGAGCAGTCTCCAATTCCTAGGGAAAAAGTCAAGGGTGAACAATGAGAACAGAGATTAATAATGCGTAGCCTCCCCATGAGACAAGATATTCGACAAAGTAGAAACAAAGTAGATATAAACTCAGGACATCTGTATATGACAAATCCAGACAGCAACTCTCCCTTCTCTAACTCCAAAAAGGACAACGATTAACGATTGAGTGTAACAACCAGAGCCCCTGTTTCACAGGAAGTATGCCATTAAAGGAGGCTAGAATAAACTCCGAAGGAAATATTATGAACCTCAACTCCAAGCAGACAAGATATAAAAAACAAGAAGAAAGCCTCGCCTTCATCTACAACTCCAAGAGTACCCACTAAACATCACCAATGGTGCAATATCTTAACAAGATACAACTCCTAAAACCCCCCCCACGTAGAAGAAGTGGGAGGTAAAAGAAACCAACATGTATCTATTGAAGGGGATCTACAGCTGGATCCGGTGACAGGGGAATTAATAATCAGAGAACAGATTATTAGAGCAGGTCTCGAGAAACTCCCTCAAAGACAGGAACGTTGAGGACCCCAGATATCAGGGACCCAAAAGGAGTTTAAATCCAAAGGCCGTCCCCTCCTTCTCCCCTGAACCAGGAGTTGAATATACGCAGGAGGGGAGGAAAGGGGAATTTAGGATTCCCCAGAGAAAGGCTTTCACAAAAGAACAAAGTCAACTACCAAGCCCAAGCCAGTCTCAAAAACCGGAAGGTGCTCCACATTGGAAACAATCTGACAAGGGACTGAACATCTAAACACCAGGGATATTTATACGAAAGATGACGAAAGGGAACACCTCAGATTACACATCAGGAGAAACCCAAGCGGAAATCTGGAAACCCTAAAATATCTGGGAAAAATAATAAGCAAATCAAGAATAAGCAAAACAGACACAGAACGCCCCTAGTCGCATAGAACCCCAGAACCATCTCCCCAAAGAAGGTAATGAGACATCCACAACACCTCTGAACACCAAGGACGAAGGGGGGGTGAAGCGAGAAAGCCAATGAGGGAGAAAAGCCTGAGGAGTTGATCAAACCCCCATTTCTAAACCAGAGCTTAGCCCTGGAAAGAAGAGGACAAGTGACAGGGACAAGGAAAGAAAGTCCAAGTTAAACAGGAGGATACAAATCTGTCTTACAGACTGAAAATTCCTGAGGAGATCCCAGGAACGAGTACAACTGAGTAGGTAAAGATCAGGTGCGGGCTCTAAAGACTTAAAAACTCACAACCTGAAGCATGAGTCTAACTGAGGCCCAAACGACAGCAACCCACAGATGAACAAAGAAGTAACAGACTCTGTAGAAAGCCTAACGTCCCGCCCAAAGGACCTAACTGACCTCAATCTGGGCCAGATTATCTACAACATGAGAGGGGGATTAACTAAAGATCATCCCAAGGAGGAGTAAAGTAGTGACAGCCGCAATCCCCGGAAACGAAGGCTCAGCTACAAAAGACTCCGTCCCACTACGACAACTAGGGACAAACCAATCAAGGAACGATATGAAAGTTTCTCAGTAGACTTCGTAGAGAGGAAATAGAATCGGGCCTAGCCAGGACGGAGTTCCAACTATAAGGACACAGCAAGGAGTCTTTCCCCGTTGTAAGGAGGACTCCAGAACAAACGGGCCAAAGCAGTTTCCCAGCAAGAGAAGGATGACGAGTTCAAAAACTCCTAAGGATAAATAAGGCAGGGGATCCAATGATCAAAGTTTCCTAACCAGTCAGGTCCACAAAATCCAATCAGGAGAACATCACTCAGAAGAGTCCCTCAGAGCGGGCGAAGAGCTCAAATATATGAGGAAGCCAGATATAATCAACGTCAGAAGCTACAAAGGACGCCTAAGGGAGGGGAGGATGAAACCATGGGCAGAACCTTCGAGTATGAGTCTGAAGCAACTGTCGGCCGAGAAGAATAGTGAGAAGGTGCAAAAAGGAGAGGAAAAGTCAAGAACAAGTACAGATGCTACCGTCAGAAGCAAGGGAGGATCAGCTGGCGAGGACGAAGGAAGGAAATAGTGAAGGCGAAATTGCAAACGGATGGCAGGAAGAAGCAGGGGATTAAGGAGGAAGGAAGTCCATTTCAGTAAAGAACAAGGACATGGATTTAGAGAAGGGGGGTTTTAAACGTGAGGAACAGGGAATACGACCTAGCAAAGCGAAAACTGTAAATAGGGGACAGGAAAAACCTCAAAACCCTGGAGGCCGAACAGGAGCTAGGGTCACTATCATCAGTCAGCGTGACCGAGACAGCCTTTCTGGGGGGGTGGAGGAGTATAAGTTATAGATTGAAGTCCAGCAAGGGGGTGGTGCTACCGGGCCAGGTCAAAAGGGAGGGTAACTAGTTTAGGTGGAGACCCAAGACGCCAGAGCAACAAGAAAAAGGGGGCGGGGGAAACGGGGGGGCCATTCCGACCACGAGAGGGGAGGGGAACCGAGGGACCAGGAGGGGAAGGACACCAGCCAGGCGACGGCAGCAGGTAGCCTAGGCGGACCAATCACAAAGACCCAGTGGAGTATCCGAACGAATCAGTATAGATCTGAATATAGATTATGTTAAAAGGGCCGGAGGAGGCAGAGACCGTCGGGGAGGAAGGGATTAGGGGGGAGAGAAGCCCTAGGTGCAGGGGGGGCATCAAGTCCGAAGACGAGTCCACAGACGGAGAAGAAGGGGGGGGGTGACTGAAACAGCTTAACAGGGAGCATTTAGGGATTAGTGAGGCGAGTCAGAGGACATCGGCCCAAGTGAGTGAACAAAATCAAAGAGAGGGTATATTTGGACGATCACTAAGGAAATACCGGGGGGCCGAGGCGCGGGGCCTCAAGGCACAGGAAAGAAGGGGGGAAGAGGATGGAAGGGGAACCCAAGAAGAACCCCCTGGGCGAGTACAGGGAAGGAGATGTAGTTACAATGACAAGATCGAGAGGACTAGTGGGGCCAAATCAAAGGAGGAGCCCGCAGGAGATCAATGACAGCTATCCCAGACGTCACTACTTCACCCTGGCTAAGCCCGGGCAGAGCAGCAGCGTGGGATTCAGAACGAGTAGACAGCCCCGAGAGAGAAGAACGACATTAGTCCAACGAGACGTCCAGAAACGGCTGATTTAGGAGGAGGGCCTAAGGAGACTTGACAGAGAAACAACAATGTTAAGCATTCCGACGACCGCCAAGGGCAAAGAAACTCCCACCCTAGGAAGAAGCGGCAGGATTCCGAAGTCAGACGGGAAGAGCAACCAACAATACAATGGAAACCTCCTACAGGGACAAGCCATGGTCCAAAGGACGGAGAAGTATAACTCCAAAACCGGACAGGTGACTCGTCCGATTCTCACGAGTCAAGAAAATGGGGAGTCATCTCAACAAAGGAGAGAAGGCAAGATGAGTAGGAAAATGAAAGGAGTCTCGGGCGGAACCGAAGGGGGAAAGCAGCTCAGAAAAGGCACCAAGCCAACAGGTGAGGTTGAGAGGGAACGAGCAGGGACAAATCACCCGAACAAGGGGAGGCGGGGCAGGGACACAGGATCAGGTGGAAAGGAGGATCTATAAAGAGGAAAACGAACACAGAACAAACAGGAGGAGGGGTTATCACCAAGTCAGGCACCCAAGACCAGCGACGTTCAGGGAGGGTTCATGAGCCAGTGAGCCGCCGAGTGAAGGGAGGGGGAAGGGATCAACATCACTAAGGCAAGAGGAGATAGGCACATGCAGCGGCATCAAGAGGATCGTAGTGACAATACCCCTGCAGAGACAAGGGGAAGCTAGAGGACATTGGTGGGAAGGGGGAGGCTAAGAGGCATCACCAAAAGCGAAGAGGGAACACCCCTGAGAAACAGGTCAGACGCTGCGTCAGGGGGACAATCCCCACCCCCCCTTGAAGAACTAGTCCTAATACTCTCCACTTCAGGAAATAGAGGAAAGTCGACGGCCGCCTGCGCGGAAGAGGGGCAAAGGGGAGGAGGGAAGGTCCTCCGTCGCGGGCCCAGCAAAAAGCAGGAGAGCAGGGGCCAAGACCCTGAGGGGGAGAGGGAGTAGGGGCAGCGTAATTTAGGCATTAGAGTGAACAGGCCAAACCGTGAGCCAGATAGGGGGCCAGCATCCCCCAGGGCGGCGAGGGGAGAGAGATAAAAATACGGGAGGGCCAAGCCGTCAAGGCACGAGGGCCAAATCCGGTGGGAATAGCAGAAGAGTCAATGGTCAACTAGCAATAGACCGAAGCGGAAGGTTAGGGGTGATCCCAAAAGCTGCCACGCCCTCAACTAATTGGCGGAAGTAAGAGGCAGACAACCTTGGACATCTATGCAGGGACCGACCGAACTCGGCCCAGCGAAACAGGAACGAGTCCGACTCCACTGGACTCGAAGCCTCCAAGGAAAAAACAGCCGAAGCAGAAAAGACAACTGAGACAGGGGGATCGGAGAAGAGGGGAAAAGGAACGGGGGCGAGTAGGAATTTAAGACCAGAGTTAACACAGGTCCAG